AGTCACATGACATATAAATAAACTTTAATGTTCTTAGTGTTCAAGCCTTTACGACCAAGTAACAAGAAACTGACATAGAAAATAAGTCTTCGCAAAAATCTGCAGCTCGCGAACATTCGGAATCAGCTCCGGATTTGTTGATAACCCGCATGTCTCGACCGAGCCTTGAAGAGCTGATTGCTTCTTTGGGCTCCACAGTATGCTTAAAGACCCGAGTTTGGGGCAACCACGAGGGTCAGTGAATGGAAGCGTGTCCTTGTTTACTCTGAGATGGATGGTGTAACCTTTTGCAAAACCAGTGCAACTATAGGCAATGCTAAAACTATTTGTGTAACCGTCCCTGCTATTTCATGATATGGCCCGTGTGTAGAATGTCTTCTTTAGTGGAGTTATGGCGCTGAGCCAATTTCTGTTGCTTTGCCATCAGCAAAAAGCGCCTAAAGATCTATAAGCTATATCTACAGCTAATTAAACAATATGGCGCATAAGCTTATATGTCCTTCCCGCAAAGTGGGATTTATCTATCTCAGATACATTAATAATTAGTGGCTATACCAGGAGCCTTTCCCACGACTTTTTGGTTGCCTAACGGTGACTATAAACGTAGTTTCAGATTTCGACTAAGGATGAAGGCGATGGGAATAGTGTTTACGGCACCGAAGAAGCAGCTACATTGTACTGTAGCGTTACGGCATTGTTATATTTGTAAAACACAGGCACTTCTGTCAGAACAGTCAACGATGTCGACATGTCAGGTTTCCTTTCTGCATGAATTCCATCCACTGCTGAATCAATGCATTTGCTACATAACATGTTAATTTTTACCCCGGTGGCTTACTAGTGCTTCCATTTCGTTTTGAGTAATAAATCTCCGTATGTAATTGAATAATATACTTTAAAGCTAAAGAATAAAACGCCCTGAGAATACTTTTCATGCTTGAGACATAAACGTAACTGTTGGATCACTATGTCAAGTAACATATGTCGTTTCAGGTTCGACCCAATATACCATGCTTTATTAATGGGATATCTTGTGGGAAACCTTGCGGTAAAGATCTTCCATGCAAGGTGCACCGCTGTCGCAAAGATTGTCACCCAATGCCATGTCTTTTGGACGGTGAGGTATGCAAGCTGCGCTGTGAGAAACCTCGACAGGATTGTGGTCATTTTTGTAACCTCCCATGTCACGGCGAAAGCCCATGTCCAGAGAGCCGGTGCGAAATGAACGTACGTAATAATCAGTGCTCACTTATTACCTATGCTGACGGTTGTTTCAAACGTTAGGTTCTTCGGTCATGTTCGTGCGGCTTACTTACTAAAACGGTGCCTTGTTTCCAAAAGCTTGATTTTGATGTCACGAAGTGAGTGTCGACGTATTATGCAATGTGGATTGATTCGTAACTACCAGCTGTTACAGACTTCATAGCAAGCAGGAGTGTGAACGAGTATTGCGAAACAACCGAGTCGCTGCCGCTTTCGGCATAAACTGCAACGAAAAGAAAGTTGCCCCTAACTACTCGGAATACTTGCGAAAGGAGTACGAAAGCGACCCGAGTTTTGCGATGGCAGTCGAAGCAAAACTTTGCCAGTTGGTAGAGTCGTTGAAACTGGTACAGTTGTTTTAGTTATTAATTTGGCTTGTATTTAATAAGTTCGAAATTAATTAATAAACCAAAATTTTAACAATACACTTTAAACTATGGCATTGGCGCATAACGTTATATGCGTTTTGGCGCAGGTCGATGTCCAGTGTACTGCGTAATCCTTTGTCCTCGAATTTGAACGTTGCAGAATTTGTCTTTACTATTTGGTTTAACCCATCTTCTTTTATGAAAGAAATGCTCTCTAGGAGCACAACACTAAGCTCTTTTTAAACTAACGACCAGCTTGAAGTTTCGTCAGTTAAGTCGAACAACTTGAGACTCGCGGACATCCGCTGTTTATACAGATTCAGAGTTGTAACCGTGGGACTGTGGTTGATACTGACCCTCAGTTTGTGTCTAAACTCAGTCAGCGACAAGGCAGCTGCGCCAAAACGTCTCGTCCGGTCCGTTCAGTTCTTTTGACAAGATGAATGATTTCGTGTTTTGTCTCCAAGTAGTTTGTTTTTCATGGTTGTAAGATTGATAAGGTTCTAGCTGCAGAGCGTAACCAGGGTATATTATGTCTGACTCTTAAAATTTGACAGAACATTCAGTATTGAACAACGCTCTCTATTGCAATGAAGCTAATTTTTAGAGGTTGAGCAATGTAGAGGAACCTGGAGAAAGAAGGTAGAATCAGGTCTGCTTTCTGAGAGGAGGTATTTTTCTACGATGCAGAATTTGTTGTAAAATTGCGAATACAATGGACAACAGCATCAAATACATCGCAGATCAGAGACGTTTTGCTTATGCAGACGACTCAAGGTGATGATCACACATAAACCGTCGTCAAACCAAGCCAAGCTTTAGTCTCTGGGTTCGTCTGGCCATGATGATTAATCATCTGCAGCTTTTCGAACAAATCTTCGACATTCAGCGTTGTCGACCTATGCCATTTCGACTGTTCGTTTTTAGACATCAGAGAAACAGTTGTGTTTTTCCTTCCAGTCGATGAATGCCGAACACAGAAAGTTTATTCACCAGTACGCTGAGTACTTCCGTCTTTCTTCCTCGTCATACGATCAAGAACCATTGAGAAACGTCGTGGTCGTAGCTGAAAGGTATGCAGAGATTACTATTTTTTGTTTTGATAAAGTGCTTCTTTCAGGGATAAGTCTACGACGCCTGCCGTACTGCTCAGTGAGGCGATGCGCCTTTAAAATTGTTTTCAGGAAAATTGACTTGCAGAAATCACACGGAAGTACTGAACCTTCAGACCGTTGAGTTAGCTTATGTTGGCCTGTATGGTTTGATGAATCGAAGATGGGTTTCGATTCATTATTTATTGGCATTTCTGGCCTCAACCGAGTTCCGGATTTTTTTTTTGAACAGTGCAAAATGTCTAAGCTGGATTGTGGACTGCCATGAAATATTATCGCATTCTTAGCGTCTTTCATTTCACTCTGTCTCATTAATTGAAAAAAAATTAATTTTAGTAAAGTAACAGCAGTACTACGTAAGGCTTGCATATTTCCCTTTAATTTGTTTTTGAATTTATAAACAATTAGGATCAGAGTGATTAAGCTGTTTGACTCTGCAGTATATATCGAAAACAGCAGCAATTTGACATATATTTTTCCTCCTCCAGTACTGCCCTCCTAAGATGTGCAACAACAGTTTAATTAATATGAGATTTAGGATTTGCCTATTCTCTAAATTTACTTAACCTGGGCACGCTGCCCCCTTGTCTTTTGTAGCCTAGGAAGCCTTTTAGTTTAAACACTCCACGGCAACAGTATTTTAACAGCTATAGGACATAGGCCCAAAACTTGCAATTTTCTAGTAAACCCAAAACATGTATGTTAATTTCTAAATACCTATCCTGTACATGCCTGTCAGTGGATGTATATCCATTTTTGTTCAATGTTATAAATTGGTGCTGTTTTATGCGCATGCATTGCATGTCTTAAAGTACCGTGAAGCCTTAGCATAGAAGGTCTCATAGGCTGTCAGAAGCAAGGCGGCAGTGCGACAACGCCATGTGATTCAGAAGAACGTTATTCTTGCTGGCAATATTGAAAACTAACAATTTAATGATACCGAAGTTAATTTTTGAGATATAGAACTATTGGGGTTAGTTTCATTTTACATGGTTGAAACGGTATATCTGGAAAATTACTTCCATGAAACGACCACAGGGACATTGAAAATAAACTGTTGTAGCAATTTGCAGACAAAAATGAAAATGCCCACTGTATTCATTCAGTTTGCTATGTAATTTGTAGCGAGATGAAATTGTGCCTCAGAAACGAACGTTTTCGATTCTACTACAAGTTATCAGCAATCTGGGATCACAGATTTACCTAAATTTGGCTAAACTCTTCTAAACTTTTGATTTACCACCTTGATCTGCAATGGCATAGAGAAACTACAGTGCGTTGTATCCAATGTTGTTCTCGGTGTTGAATCTGTGATATCTTTAAGGTTAAAATGTCATTTAGAGACAAGCCATTCAGAACATGCTAAAATAGATTTAACTGTTCTTTCGATGTCATAAAACTGCTTGCAGACGTCAGAAACTGTATTACACAGGAAGTTTTCAGCAACAAATTGCAGCAGCAGTACAGGCATTATATAAAGTCGCTTTGGAAATTGTCATGCAAAAAAACCTTACACGATTAGAGAAGCGCTCATCAAACCTTGTTTGTTGAATATGGTTAAGTTAATTCTAGGGGAAGTCAGTGAGATAATGATTTGACATGCATCTCAATAATACAATTTATAAGCGCATATCAGATGTGTCCGTAGACGTGATAGAACATGTTTTGAATGACATCAGAGTTGTTCCATTGTTTTTTTTCGAGATGATGAATCAAGGACGTAAGTTCATGGTTTCAGTTGCTTGTCTTCGTAAAATGTATTTATTCAAATGACATCAATGATGAGTTCGAGTTTTGTAGTGCCTTGAAATTACTACAAAAGAGAAGATATACGGAAAAGGTAAATACGTCTTTCGAAACTGAAGTACTGCATTGGAAAGACATCTTTGTGGTATGTACAGGTGGAACATCAGCGATGATAGGGTCAAAGTCGGATTTTCAGACAACAGCGAAAGAATTTTTCCCCAATCAATCTGCATTCACTGCATGATTCTTCGATACGCCCTTGCCAATCTGATTCTTTTAGTTTTCTGCAAGATGTACTTGATTCCCTGATCAAATCTGTAAATTCCATCAAATCTTGAACCTTCATTACCCATCTGCAAAAATGGGAATTCTGATCATGAGGCTCTACTGTTCTATTCTGCTGTACGCTGAAAGTGCAAAGGAAACGACCTTGTGACTTACTTCAATGATGAAGCTTGGAAGAAAAGATCTGCTTACTTTGTAGACATTTTAGACAAGCTAGATATGCTGAATCTAAAACTTAGAGAATTAAACACACATTATGCAATTTCATTCAAGACAGCGTTCGGGCATTTGTATCCAAGCTACAAAACTGGTGTCGAGAAATAAATCTTGGAAACATTGTCCTATCTGAAAAAATTTTGCAGTTTGGTAGAGGAATCTGAAACAAGAGATTGCTGGGCACGTTGAATGCTTGAAAAAAATTTCAGACGTACCTCCCTGAGCTTACAGATGAAAAAGCTGCACTGGTACGAAACCCATTCTTTGCTTCCATGAATGTCGCTATTCCTTCCTTCCTTTAATAGCATATCTAGCGAGTTAGGAAACAGTAATGAACGATGCAACATAGTTTCCTAAAAACTATAACTTGCCCAAGTTTCTACACGATAAACCCCTGAACTGACAGAGGAAACTCCACTGTGTCATTCAAATGCGAAAGTCATTCAAAAAAGATTTGACTGGTGCAAGATCTGAATGAACAATATGCAATTTTTTCACGAAACCTTCATTAACTGACCAGCTAAAAGTCGCTTTAAAATTAACATCGCAATGCACTATATAAAAATCACTGCTCCCTTTGGTGTACTAATATATGAAACTCCGTTAACTGTAAGAGACGCACCGCTACGGGCATCTGAATGGCACAAATTCTGATGTGCACAAGAACATGTATGTGCCACCTTTCCTGCATGGGAAAAATTGGGTTTTGAGGAAACAGCTGAATCCAACACAGAATAACTGATAACCTACGCGAAGTCAGAAAATGAATTTTGGAATACATCTATAGTAGCGGTAATTTTTTCGTGAACTTAGAAGTCGCGTTTTCGAATCAGATAAATTATTTTACACAGTTGGCTGATAATTTCTTTGTTACTCAACCGGTCCCAAGCGAAGACGAAAAAAGGGCAGAGTTATGGATCTCAATAAACTTAGCAACCGTCCCTAATGGTATGGTCGCCATAGGCATTATACCAACAAAGTTGTCATCCGGCTTACCGAGGGTACACAGGCTACTGAACAACTGAAACAGATCGCGAAAATGCGATCACAAGGGCATCTCTCCATCCGGCATCTGGGGCAGTACGGCGGCAACTGCAGTCACCAACGAAGCCGCTACCCGTTTTGATTTGAAAGGGTAGACAGCGCAATGCCAAGACGGCACGCAACAAGGCTATACAGGACCGACACCGACAGTGGGAGATTGCAGTCGAAAGTTTCAGCATCTTTTCACTCACAGGGAAAAGCACAACCTAGTTGCTGAGGCCGCACGCTACAAATTCGCAGCAGTTGTACTCTCGTCAACCAGGGGCTAAGACTCTAGAATTCTAAATCTCTGCTGTTGAAAGTCATTCTACTCACGCATCGAAATCACCAAGCACTTTGAGGTCGGTGTTAGTGTCATAGCAAAACCCAACGTAAATTCAATGAGTGAAAGTCTAGCATCGAAAGAGTAGCAGGCGTCCAGTTCAATTACTACAGTCCAAAGATTCGACTAAGGACATCGGACTAA